TAAAATCAGATTTTAGAGAAACTGTGCTGTCAGCTTCAGGAAATACCCATTTCTATGTCAGCAGGACAGTGCCCCTGTGCACAAATCAAGCTTCATTAAGAAATGATTTAGTGAGTTTGGTGTGGAAACTGGAAAGCCAACAATAAGTCAGGCCATATTGCCTGGCATCAGTACCTGACCTCTAAAAGGATGCGATGTTTGGCAGTCCACACACTTTTAACCATATAGTGTGGGTTTCCATAGCTAACAAAATAAACTGACTCCTTAGTGTACCTCAGTATTATAATGTTCTGCTTTCTGTCTGTCTGTTCTGCCTATTTGTATGACACACCCATACAGAAAAATGGCCCAAGCTGGATGGTCCCTCTCCTCTTGAGTCCACAGGACACAGCATCCATGGTTTCCAAAAAGAATTTCAAATTTTGATTTATCTGACTACAGAACAGTTTTCCATTTTGGCTTAGTCCATTTTAAATAAGCTTTGGCCCAGAGAAGACGGTGGTGTTTCTGGATCGTGTTGACATATGGCTTCTTCTTTTTTCTTTTGATACAGCTTTAACTTCTGGAAGATTTCTGGAAGGGTTCTTGAGCCCAGGCAGTGATTTCCAGTATAGAATCACTCAATCAATTTCCTAATGAATATGCAATCTCCTTGCCTGGGTATCTGCTTAAATTTGTCATAAAATATCTTCATTGTGGGCCTGCCTGCAACACGCCCCCCACTGACCATCCTCCACAGCCTGTAATACCTGAGACCCAAATTGTTTCTCTGTTGTGCTTTGGACTGGAAACCACCAGCCAGAAGGGCTCTTCAGAACGAGCCAGACCCCGGGGGTGGTTCCCTGGGCTGGCAGTACGTCCCGACCTCCGTTTGAGCTCAGATCCTCCAGTGGGAGGGGCACCTCCCTTTTCTCATGTCATCTGGTGGTGACCCATACCCTGGAATTTCTGAGGAAGCACTTCTGGTGGCTGGTCGTGGTAAAGGACATCTGAGCTCAGAACGTGACTGGCAGGTCTGGTTTTAATGAAAATTGGTGCTAGTTGGTCATAGCAGTGCTTTAGGGTGGATGGAGAGATGACCCCGGAGCTTTTCTGACTATTTGTCTGCTGAAAAGCCTGTTGACACCCTGTTCATTGATGGTGAAATGAGTTGGGGGCAGAAGTGAGACAGCCAGGGCAGGGGAGGGAAGGTTGAAGAATGTCTTTTGCATATTCAAATCTACAACAGTACTCAATCAGGTCGTTGGTGAGTTTTTCTCACCTTGTAGTGAGTGATCTCTTGGAGGCCTTTCAAGAGAGGTTGTGTTGTTGGCAGCAATTTGGCTTCTCGGTTTTTCTAAATATTTATTCTTTGTTGTTTTAATAGAGAATTCTGTCCACGCTCCTGAATGCTGCCTCATTTTCCCTCCAAAGCTGTCTTAGTTCAGCTGAAAACCATGGTTTATCATTGCTATATTTCACATGTGCTGAACCTAAAATGCAGCTGTGCTTGCAGAAACTGATGTATGATGTCATGGTGTCTGTGTATTTGACTAGTCTGACCTCCTCAAAAACAGTCCAGTTTGTGGTTGCAAAGCAGCCCTGTAGCTTTTCATTGTCTCCACTGGTCCACCTCTTCACTGTTGTGACAACAGGCCTGCTGGTTTTTACCTGTAGTTTGGGATGAGGTCAACAAGACTGGTCAGAAGTTCCGAGAGCCACATGCATGACAGAGTGATAAACATTTTTAATAGTAGTTTAGCAATAATCCAAAATGTTCCCTTCTTCTGTGGCACAAGTGACATGCTGTCTGTGCTTGGGCATTTTCTTTGTTAGATTTTCACTGTTAAAGTCCACTTAATATATTTAGTGTGTTTGGGTTTGTTGTCCTTTTTTTACAGACAGTAGAAAAATACAGAAAATGGGGTAGGTTTGTGGGCCTGGAAAAAACAATGTAGCTCAGGGGCCCATGACCAAGTTAATCCTCCCCTGGTGACATATCATTTCCCGTTTAAAATGTCATCAAATATTTTGGTGGAGTTTGGTATTGAAATAAGGTATGTGGAGGTTGGAAAAGAAAATGAAATAGATCATGTATTAACTTGCAATTAATATAATAAGTGTGTGATGTAGAGCCACAAAGAAGGTGAGAACAGGTCAGTTATCACATGTTTGCAAAATGGTAGTATGTTAACACACATGACTAAAATGCCTATTCTTCAAGTTCTCCACAAGGGGGAGATATTACCTGTCCAATAGCTTTTGTGTGCATCATTGTAGAAACTGGCTCTTTCAGTAAAGGTAGGCTTTAAAGGAGGCATAGTAAACTACAAAAAATATCTATATGGACCTGATAAAATAGACAATAAGTGTAAATACAAGGTAGATGCACCTAATAAAGTGACCAGTGAGTTTATGTAGTTTATGTCTTTCTGAGTTTTACTGTGTGGTCCTGTGAACACTGGCCATGTGTGCATTTTGCACCGATGCCCTAGAAGAGTACTGCTTTGTTCCACTGTATACTTGTATATGGTTGCAATGACAAAGTTCTTGTTGATCTAATTGTTGCTGATCTAAATGTACAGACAAGTGTAATTATGTTATAACTGAAGTTTTGGGGGAGGAACATGCCTGAAACCCATCCTTTTTCTAATCTAATGCCCTGTATATTCACATCCTCACCTTCTGTTCCCATGATAAAGGGTTCGCAATTCCCACCGCCACCCCATATCTTCCCTGTTCCTCAGTCCTACATCAGTCCTACTACAGTTATGGGGGGGTCTGGCCTTCTAGCTACAGGCAGAAGCTGCCCAGAACTCCAGCCCAAATTCTCAGAATTCTCCCCCGTCCGTCTATCAGTGTTCCCGCATACTACCACACTGTTGAAGGCATGGTCTGAACTCAGAAAATGGCTTTATAAAATTCTGGTTGTGACTTCCAATGTGTAACACATTATAGTAAGGAAACATACTCTTGCGTACATATAACTGCACGTCAGTTTGCAAAATGATAGATTATGGTGCTTTTTGGTGAGCAGATAGTAAAAGCCTGGCAACCAGTGCACGCACTCAAATTGTATCCAATAAGATTCAACACTGCCCACCTAGACGAACAGGAAGCTGCAGAGAGTGTAGAGGGGAGCTCCTAGCTGAGTGGTGATTACACTCTCAAAAATTCTGGCTCAGTGCACAGCAAAACACAATTTCACATGAGCCTGAATCTGTGTGTGTGTGTGTGTGTTTTGTTTTACAGAGGATTAGGTGCCATCTTCCCTGTTGGTTTCTTGCTGTCATCTGCCAGGCAGACTCTGTATCTGTATCAGTGAACAGGATAAACTGGTATAAATGGTTCTGATTATAAGTAGGGCTGGGTATTGGCAAGAACCTGGTGACATGATACGTGTCATGATCCAGGAATTATGATTCAGTGTATTGTGATATATTGCGATACTGTGAGCAAGGCAACATACTGCAATTTTTGAAATCTAATTTTAGGAAAATTGTCATAGTAACAGTAATCAACACACCACCCTATGCATAAAATCTGAGTAAAATAAGAAAGTTTACTTTTATGCAATCAGAACAGTGGGATCTGCATTTGCATTTCTCACAGTCCCTGTAACATCCAACATCATAGTACTACAACACAGGGGTGGTCATGATCTGCAGCGAGAAAGTGCTCTTTAATGACACACCAACAGAAAAGGCACATAAAAACACACAAACTCACAGGGGAGGTCACCACCAGCCACCACAGGCCTCCCCCTTTGCCCCACACACACACACACACAAACCCACACGACTAAACCCAGTCTGAATAAAAGAAGTGCAGTCTGAATACAAGTATTAATATTTGCTTATATCAGTAAAAATATCAGTATATATCAGAATATATCAGAACAGTATATATCAGAATATATCAGTTCAATTTTACCTCCAATGTGGGCACAGCAATGTCAGTGATATGTTATCAGGAGGGTATGGTGTAATGAGGCATCATATTATGGAAGCCTTGTTCTGACACACTGTGCTGCCTTGTCAAAATGTCCTACCATAGGAGATGTTTATAGGTAGTGACCTACATAAAACTGTAGGTAGGACATCTTGACAGCCTAAGTAACACAAATTTTCCCATTCTGCCTTAAATTGTGAAGCAGTTATTATTAGAACACCTAAGGCACCAAGATGTAACTAATATATATATATATATATATATATATATATATATATATATTGCATATGTATATAATCATTAACTCAGTCACCATAAACATAAAGAACATGAGAAACTAAAGTAAATAATATTTTAATGAAAATAAAGAAAAGAAATGAAAGATAGCAGAGGTAAGCAGAAAACTATATAAATGGCAAGGAAGCAGAAATGAAGCAGAGTGAGATTTTCCGGTTTCATGAATCGGTAGACCACCTTCTGATGCCGCTTGAAGGTGGGAGGAACTTCAGATATCAGCAACATCAAAGAAGAGTCATATTTTGACATCTGTAGGGAGTAAGACACAGGAGTGGCAATGATCTGCAGCGAGAAAGTGCTCTTTAATGACACACCAACAGAAAAGGCATGTAATAACACACAAACTTGCAGCGGAGATCACCACCAGCCACAGGCCTCACCCTGATGTTAACACCCCCCCCCACACACACCCCAACACAGAATATCCCAAAAAACACCTACACATAACATTAATTAACAATACTACTATGGTCAACTGTAGCTACGGCATGGCTACAGTGATTAGAATAGAACATTCTACAATAATGACTAACATTATTATTATTATTATTATTATTATTATTATTATTGTTATATTATTATTATTATTATTATTATTATTGTAGTAATGGTAGTGATAGTGTTATTAATATTATTATCTCTGATGTTGTTCTATATTTAAGTTACACGCTGTTAAATTTAGTAAAAAGACTAAAATATCACCATTTATACAAATATTTACCATCATTAATTATAGTGTTGCGGCTGCGCACTCCGTCACGTGCCGCTCCTCCTCCTCCCAGCGCGCTCCCGGTAGTGAGAGTTCGCGCTGCGCTGCGGGTTCGCGCCAGTTCACGGGTTCAAGCGGGGAGAGCTCCACGCGAGGAGCTTCAACAACAAAAAAAAAAGCCCGCGCGCTTTAGGACGGAAACCCTGAGAGCAGGTAGGAGAGCGCCAATGGATAACTAACACTGAGGTGCTGCGGAGAGAGGGTAAAAATGGCGGAACGGCGGAATGGAGGAGAGAGAGACCGGGGGAAAGGTGGGAAGAACCGGCGGAGAAGAGGGGGAAGCTGGGGAAAGTTAACGTTAGCGGGGCTAAAGCGCTGAAGTACGAGGCTAACCGAGCTAACGCGGCTAATGGGGCTAACGAAGCTAATAGCTAATGGGGCTTAAGCAGTTTGAGGAATGTGGGCTAGTCGTGTGAGTGCGTGCGCGCGCGCGCGCTGTTTGTGTTTGTTTCTCCTTCTCGGCGCCTCATTTCCAGCTTCAGCAGCTGTGTGTGTGTGTGTGTGTGTGTGTGTGTGTGTGTGTGTGTGTGTGTGAGAGAGAGTGAGTGAGTGAGGGAGAGAGAGACCGGGGTTTTAGTAAGCAGCGATTCTGTGATCTAACTTAGTTTCTCTAAAATCTGTACAGCGGTTTGGGGCGGTGTGTGTATTTTAGTCTGAGGGAAATGCAGCATCTCACCGAGTAATGTACAGAGAGCAGAGCATCCTGTGTGTGTATGTGCGTGTGCTCTTGTCTTGCTATACTTGTGAGGACCTCATGTCCTCACAGTGATAGGATTTTTGCTCAAATGAGGATATTTTGCTGCCTTTTGCGTACTGAGGTTAAGGTTAGGGTGAGGTTGGCTACAGTCATACAAACATCAATAGAAACCTTACAGGTATAGCAAGACAAACGCGTGTGTGTGCGCGCGCGCGCGTGCGTTTCGACAGGTTTGTCCTAGTTCTCTTGTGTCCTGTGTTGATGTTCTGGTCGCTTCCTTCTCACACATACACAGATGGCATGCCGTTTTCTTCATTGGCAGCAGTAATCACCGCTTACTTCGTTTGATTAAATGCATTGCCCATGTGACATAATACAAAAATATAATATGACATTTTAGTTATTAGCTGTTATTATAAAGTTATTAGCAATTATCAGATTAGGAAGAGTTGACTCAAACCATAATAAATGACACAAATTCGAATGATCATGGGATAATTTAGCTCTAAAATATCACCTCAGGCCCATTATAAATTGTTCAGTGAATATAGTTGAAAATGAGTTAGTATGCTAGCACTGGTAAAACTATTTTATTTTGAATAATGTGCATTGTCTGTGATAAATAATCAAATAGTTCAAATAATTAATGTGCAATTAATACTATCAGTTCTTCAAGTTTAATATTACAATATGCCATCACATTAATTTTAGTGCAGAGTAAAGCTGAGTCACTAAATAATCTGCCAGTGTACCTTCTTGTTAGAAAACATTAGATTAGCATACAGAGATATTATATGTCAGCTGTTATTCTGTTCAAGCCACTTTATGTCTAAAATAGTTCTAAATGGATATACAGCTTTTTTTTAGTCAGTCGTTAAAATGAAACTGAAAAAAATACTCTTAAGAATCTTACTGTGTGTTACCTATTGTGAAAAGATAATAATATTTTTTTAGCTGAAGGATGGCAGGTGTGTTTTACATCATCACATTAACACACACCCACACATAAATGATCACAGATTGGAAATTGGTTCCAAAACCCTTTTCAGAAAAAACCTAACTCCAGCTCCTTTAACTCAGACTTCGTTCTCAGTCGGACCGCTTCTGCAGCGAGAGTGTGAGGTGTGTGAGCGGAGCGTGTGTGTGTGTTAGAGCTGGTGTTTGCTGAGACATGGCACTTGTCTGTGGTTACAGTGTCAGCCATTTTAGGCTGGACAGTACAATTCATGGTGCTCCGCCATCTTCCATTTTGGTTTTAATCAGCGTCGGCCCGGCTATTAAACTAAACAAATCTCACACACGCTTATCTCTGATAGGTGAAAGCGAAAAAAATCTGTCAGAACTCTTTGGAGCTGCTTTAGTCACAGGTCTGCAGAATCATTTCGGAAAGCAAAATTGTGTTTAAAACAAATACAAAAAAAAAACATAAATCACGATAATGTATATTTTTGTTCTGGTTATATGTTATGATTTTGTAATGGCAGATACAATAGACTAAATTTGTTTAGATGAATTTGAGAAGTGGCATCTATGACTGGCACAAAAACCCCCTGAAAAGCTTGGAATTTGGCTTTTTTTGGAGAGCATAAAAGCCTTCGTCCATATGTGTGTGTGGGTTTGGGGATTTAGTCCTCCGAGTGTGCAGTGGGTAAGGCAATGGGAAGGGAGACGGGTTGCTATGGCAATGTTAACACATGAGTGGCAGCACAGTCTGGCCTCACAGAGTAGGGGTAAGAGGAGCACGATGGACATGCACACACACGACTGGACATACATATACAGGCTTCTCACAAATAGCTAATAGCACTTCACAGCAGTTGTATGGTGATGATGCACTGTCACATGCTCTTTTTCTAGGCTGGCACATGTCTAGACATACAGGAATTGTAATCAAGGCATGCCAGCTTAAAGGGCACTGCATGGCACACAACTTCCTTCAGATTAGTGCTACATTTGCTTTATAAATGGAGGAGCTATTACATGCAGTGAAACTTCAAACCTGCCCAGGAAGAAGGTGGTCCGAACATTCATTAAACTGAAGATGAATGGCTAACTGTGGTGATTTTTGTCTTCGAGGATTTATTTTGGACCCTTCAAGCCCATGCCTATTCACTACATTCTCCAGTTCTGTAGAGAGGAGAAGTAGGGCATCAGCCTAACTCTAATCCAAAAGACTCCTTGTCCTACCTACAGTATGCAGCATGTAGTGAATACATTTTTGCTCAGCATACTCCAATTACATTTTTTTCTGCGTCTGGCACACTGATGTTTCGGTTAAGGAACGATGCCAACACTGCCTCATTAAGTGTGGAACCACTAGTTCAATAATGGACAACTAGTCTTCAAGCTTGTGTTTAAGCCAACAATGAGTTCAATAAATCACACTGTAGCAGCCTATAAATTGCTTTTTGGTAAAATAACACAATGGCTAAAAGTAACTGTGTTAGGGTAGCCTGTAGGCCTTGGTTTTTGTAGCCTCTTTTTTTTAGGGTGGGCTGTATTAAATTGTCTCTTTTTTTTGGATTGAACAATTTTGATGTGATTGTCCCAAGCTTAAATACACACACCACAGTACACAGAATTATAACACAGACTCTGTGTTTCTTAGCCCAAATAATTGGTACAGAAAAGATGAAGTGTAGATCATCGCTAGTTTTGAGAGATCATGTTGCTTAAGATGAAAAGGCATTCAGGTCCAGCACAAGAGCAACAAAAGTACACACACACAGGAGGGAAGGAGTGTGTGGTTCAGTTTGTAACACGAGGCCACTCTTTCAGAACTCCTTCAATAGCTCACTGTCTGGAAGCCTCCTGTGCTGTGTCTGATCGTTTCAGATAAAGCGGCCCATTCTCTTACCTGTTTTTTTTATGTAACTTTTTCTGAAGCAAGCCTTGTCTCAGCCTCAAAAGCTCCACCCACAAAGGTACACAGACTGTCTGATATTTATTGTATGCTGACAACCATTGTAATTTTGTCAGTTGTACTCTGAGTGCCTCTCCACAGTGCCATGTGTACACGCTTCTCCGCACTAGTTTTTCCTCAGTGAGACTGGAAACTTTCGAGTAGTTATGCACTCTGCAGAGCAAGCCTTTTCAAGCAAGATATAGTTGCTGGATTTAAAGATGTTGTGAAGCATCACAGCGTAAAAACGTTATGCAGTGGTTTTCTTTGAAGAATTTAGTGATTAGTAAATCATAAGATCTTGTATGTTTGCTAACAGGTGTACCACTTTGTTCCATATGGGTGTCTTTTTGTTTTGACAATCACCTTCCCCTTAAATGTCAAGCAAAAAAAATGGTTTGTAATTGGTTGCTTCACATGTTCAACAGAGGTCTGAACCAGACCCAAAACAGAAGCCTGAATGGAACACATTTTACAGATGTGTATTGCATGAAAAATCATGCATGATATTACCAGTATTCACCAGGTATTTACTGGCATGGGTCTACCCAAATGAGACAAACTTAGTTAGGTTCTAATAGACGGAAAAGCTCTGAGATAGAGACAAAAGCCTGTAGCATCAGTAGTCCTAGTGCAGTGCCAGCTGAGGTAAAGGCATTTCCACTTGCTATGGTTGGAGGACACACAGCACTGCCTTTACTTTCAGATTTCATGTTCCAGACTCATAAACTAAGCTACATATGGTTGAGTGCCCAGAGAAACAATCATTACAAGATATTTACATGATTATTAAAACAGAACAGGCGGAAAAATGTGAACCGCAGATGAACCTTATCCTGAAAAGGCCCCAAAATGCCTGAAGTGTAGTGTGCGGATGACTGTGGAAAATAGGCAGGAGATATAAAGGTGCGGAAGGGAGTGAACATATGGTCAAATCACAAACGTGGGTAAGTGTAAATGTCAAGCAAAAAAATGGTTTGTAATTGGTTGCTTCACATGTCAGTCACATGGCCCTTTTTTGTGTCAAGTCGGTGGTTCTTGGCCAAAACCCACCCACTCTCAGATGATGGCTTGCAAGACTAAAACCAAGTGAAATGGTAATGTTCCTGTTCCTCCACAACACCTGCTTTAACACCATAAATTAATTTGTAAAAACAGCACTTTGTTGGAAAATGAAAAATGGAACATTGTGTTCAGCTCTGGGTATGGGTGCAACGATTATTCGACTTAGTCGACTAAAATCGATGACCAAATTAGTTGGCAACTAATTTAGTAGTCGATTAGTTGGTGACGTCATTCCGCGTCTTTCTCGCGCTCACTAGAAGAGTTTTGACATAGCCGCTCACTGGAGAGTTAACAGTGCGATGGCTGCCTCAAGAACAAAATCCTCAAAAGTGTGGAGGTAAACTTAGAAAAAATGTTATCAGTTGTGCTTTTTGTAAGCCGACCTTAGCTGGCACAGGAGCACATCCTCCGTACTGTAGCATCTGAAGAGGAAACTTGTCGGCTTACTGGATGAAGAAGATATCTCGGTAAGATATACCGCATCCCAAACCGCATACTAGCACACTAAATAATGTGTAAAAATAGCGCATATACCATTAGAAGTGCACTTATTAGTGTAGTGTGTGAAGTATAGAAGTGTGTGGTTTAGGACGCGGCGATAGTTGTGCTAGCGAGCTAGTCGGCAAATGTTATTGCTAAAAGCCGTCCTACTTCATGCTGTGAACCAAGATGTAACATTTTCTATTTCGAAATGCATTTTCTCTGGAATTGTTAACGGAGTTGGAACAGAGGAGCAAGTAACTATTATTCACAGCGACCCTGTTCACCTTCCAGATAACGTTTAGACTTTTTAAACACTGCATCGTCGTCTTAACGTCAAGGCTACCGGTGCGTTTGGTTTCGGTGAACACGAGAGCGTTTCCAAACAGGTTTCTGTTCTCCGCGAACGTTTAGCTCCACTCGCTAACAGTTTAAGGAGGTAGTTCTCCGTGTACACACAGGGTAGCTGGACAAAGGGTTACCGTTGAAATGAAGCATTTAGACTAAAATCGTTCATATTTAATTGTTCAAAGAGAACAAGTTTTCCACAAACGTTCGCCACTTTCCCATCCGCTCCATCAGAGCGCATCTTCTCTGCAGCGGGGAGTATCTGCTCTCAAAGGACAGCAAGAATCTCACAAGAGCACGGAGAGACACTGACTTTCCTCTGTTTGAATAAAGACCTGTGATTGTAGAATGTAGTTGCAGCAAAGTGTAGACACACAACAGAATGCACAGACTGCACTGTTAATATTTAACATTTAAATTTAGATTTTTTAAAAATTTATTTGATTAAAGAAAAACTGATTTAGTTTTGTTATATTTTATTGCTGCTACTTGGCACATCCTTCATTATAAATTCTGACAGGAAAAATACATTGGAGTTTTTTTTCTATCTTCTGTATTAGCAGGAAAGTTAATTAAAACAGTGAATTCTTGAATGTTATTCATCTTTATTGTCTTCACTGTTAGCAAATATATAAAACAACCACAAGCTAAATTTAAAAACTAAAGACTACATAAAAGTTATTTGGTAATGTAGTGATTCATAATCCAAATAATCGATTATTTGTTTCAGTAATCGATAGATTATTCAACTGTCAAATTAGTCGTTTGTTGCAGCCCTAGCTCTGGGTATGAAAAAAAGCTTTGCTGTTAATCCTACTGCCAGGTACGCTCTGATGTAGAGTTTCTATCAGCCTCCTTGTACCCTCAGTTTGTGTAAAGGGTTAACAGTACTCTGATCTGATGACATGTTTTATGACCCCTGGGCTGGCTGAATGTACAGTAAATGCCCATGTCTGGATGCAGAGAACCGGGATTATGGCATAAGATGCTGGTGACCTAGTTTTATTATTATTATTTTTTTCCCAGCTGGAAGGCAGCCGTCATGAGAAATAAAGAGAGTCAGTTGTATCAAGGATGTCACAGCTCGTCTGGGAGAGCTGTATATTCTGGGCAGTCATCTCAGGAATTTTTAATTCCAGAACGGTTTCATCTTTTATTTAAAAGACAGGCGGTCATGCTGAAAAAACATACACACTGAGACCACATTTTTATACAGTTTTTTTTTTTATAGTCTAATGAAAGACAAGTTCAACAGAGGTCTGAACCAGACCCAAAACAGAAGCCTGAATGGAACACATTTTACAGATGTGTATTGCATGAAAAACCATGCATGATATTACCAGTATTCACCAGGTATTTACTGGCATGGGTCTACCCAAATGAGACAAACTTAGTTAGGTTTTAATAGACGGAAAAGCTCTGAGATAGAGACAAAAGCCTGTAGCATCAGTAGTCCTAGTGCAGTGCCAGCTGAGGTAAAGGCATTTCCACTTGCTATGGTTGGAGGACACACAGCACTGCCTTTACTTTCAGATTTCATGTTCCAGACTCATAAACTAAGCTACATATGGTTGAGTGCCCAGAGAAACAATCATTACAAGATATTTACATGATTATTAAAACAGAACAGGCGGAAAAATGTGAACCGCAGATGAACCTTATCCTGAAAAGGCCCCAAAATGCCTGAAGTGTAGTGTGCGGATGACTGTGGAAAATAGGCAGGAGATATAAAGGTGCGGAAGGGAGTGAACATATGGTCAAATCACAAACGTGGGTATGCTGCAGTATGGTGAACTACAAATAACTCAGTGTTTTTTGATTGCATGATTTATGCCAAGGGAAATAATGATGGTGTCCATGGCTTATACATTAATTTATGTATTATTAATGTTTCTAATTCTGTTTTTTAAATTTTTCCTAGCACGTATACAAACTCTTCTAACCACATAACAGACATGGCTTTTAGTTCACTGGAAGTGTGCGATGTGTTTCCACTGTCAGCAATTAAATCTGCATACCATCCATACTTTTCAGCATGGATTACGTATTTTACTTGATGAAAAGCGAAGCTTTTTGGATAAATTTCAAATGGTAGGTGCTGGCATCTCTGCTCACGTCAAATTAGTTTCATTACAATATTTTTATTCATCCACAGATTCCCAGAGGGTTGCTGGAGCTCTGCTTTACAATGGGGAAAAATCACAATACCTAAAGACAGCCTCCACTGTCATCATGGCTGGCCAACGACACTGAATTTCCATCGATTCCGAGCACGCAGTCCTAACTGTTCACTCATCCCTGCACTATGGCCAGCAAAAGAAAGTCCACCGTTCCCTGCATGATCCCGGCGAAGAGCAAACACCTGCGAGATGAGATTGTGCTGGGTTGTTTACCGGAGCTACTGCCCACAATTCCTGAAGACAGCATCCTGAGCATCTCTGGTCAGGAAGAGGAGGAAGAGGCACAGAGGACCTCCAGCCTGTCTGAAAGGGGAACACACAGATGCCCACCATGCAGCTTTCAAACAACAGATCTGAGCCTTTTTCTCAACCATATGGACAGCTGCCATGTGGACTTTCGCACGCAAACAATATTTTACTGCCTGAGTTGCAAGGTTTCACTGGCAAAATTTGAGGGTCTGGCATCGCATAATGCAAAAACACATCCTGAACTGCAAGCAGAGGGAAGCCCTGGTAGAGCAGCTTTGCAGGTTACTATGCGAGATGGAGTTCTGACAGTAGAACAGATGCTGTTTACAGAAAAGGAGAATTTCAGCGATGCTGGAATATCCATCACCAAAACACCCATAATGAAGATGATGGTCAAAGGAGATCACAAGAAAATTGTTGTCTCCCACACAGTTGAGGTACAGAAAGCAGATATTATTCATGAAAAGTCCATGACAGTGACCAATGGCTCTTCAGGGAGGAACGTACCCACATCACAAATTCTCACTGGTACCTCTTCCATCCCTGTGCCGAAAATGACAAATACGGGAATACAAGTAACACAGAATGTGAAGCCTCTCTGGAATTTTGCTTCTTCTCCTGATTTAAACAGCAGTCTCCCAAAAGTAATGATTCCTCTAAGTAGCATTCCCACCTACGACCCAGCCATGGATCTAAGCAGTTTCCTTAAGGCTTCTTTTGGAAAGTTCCCATACCCCACCAAAGCAGAGCTGTGTTACCTGACTGTGGTATCAGGTTTTCCAGAGGAGCAGATTAAGCTGTGGTTCACGGCTCAGAGGCTAAAGCAGGGCATCAGCTGGTCTCCTGAGGAAATCGAGGACACGAGGAGGAGGATGTTCAACACTGTGTTCCAAGCTGCACCTAAAGCATTACAAAGTCAATCTCATCCACAGGTTCCCCACCATTATGTCTCTGGCCAGCCCACCTCGGCAGGTGCTGGCATCATACCACATGCATCAAAGGGCAGTGTGATAGGGAGGAAAGGAGGAGTCATAGTGACACAGCCTGGCACAGCCCAGGGGTCCTCCCTGAAGCACCAGTCAGTGGTCCAAACGTCACTGGTCACTGTCCGACATGGCATCGCCACCAAGGAAGCTGGAAATGGATTATCTTCGCAGAAAGCTGAAAGCAGCTCAGCGAGCCAAACCAATATCGCTAGCAATCATATACATGGTGAAAAAAATGAAACTGGATCAAGTAGTTCTGGCATATCTAGTGCTATTTGGTTAACCAGCACTACTCAGAAAAAAAACAGTAGTTGCAGTGAAGGTAGCATCATAAACTTGACTAATATTGTTAGGAAGATTGATTGTAATGTAAATAACACAAATGGCACCAGCAAACTTAACACAAGCTCAGCTTTCATATACAGGCATGACAAAGCAACTGTCGACACAAAAGAAAGCAGCAACAGCAACTTTGCCACCAGCAGCAAATCTAATAATGGAAATATTGATGAAAGCACCAGCCACAGTACTATTTGCACTAAAAAGGAGGGCAACACATCTGACAACACCAGCAAAACAAAGACACCTGACTCTATCGTAATTTGTAGCAGCACTGGATCAGGTGAGTTTTTGCTGGTCCAGACTGGCAGTCTGGTGGATGCAGTCCTTAGTAAGAACAAGAGCAAATTGCCTGAGCAGCTAGAGGCTTTGAAGCAAAGTATCAACCACAGCTTATTTCCAGAACGGAAGCTTATAGCAACCAGGGACGAGTCTGTATGGGAGGTTGATAAACCATTTCACAGCCATAGCTTAGTAGACTCAAAGTTGGCTTTGGGGCATTTTGTAGGAAATGTGCCCCAAACCTCTCTCTGCTCAAATTATGCATGCATTCAGGAAGATAATCAGTTCTCCTCGCAGTCTCTTCCTGCTCAACCAGAGAAACTTTCCCCAAAGTCATCGCTGGGAGCCCCTCAGGTTCCCTCAGCAGACTTCACTGCCGTCCTCTACAGCGACCAAGACCTCTCTGCCTTGGAGGACCACCCTCAGCCATCTAAGGCTATCTTAGACAGGTCACACTTCAACAGTAAAATTAAACAAGGAGAAACTGACGCTATGTTTTTGGAGCATCAGAAGAGCCAAGCAAACAACACTTTGTACAACACTGACAAAGATGAGCAGTGCAGGATAGTTCACCTACAATACACTTTGAAAAAGGATGAGGTTAAGAAGATAGCTGCTATAGAAGAGAAGCCCTCACTTCAGCAGTACACAGAGGTGGTGGAGGACCAATGGGAGGGTAACAGCTCCTACCATGAGCCAAAGACAGAGTCCATCACGATCAACTCAAAGAAACTAAATGAAGCAGAGCACATGGCTAAAGCCAGCAGAAAGCATATGAATAACCAGCACTTGGATAAAGATGGCGGTTCCTGTTATGACAACGGGCCTTCAAAGAAGCAAGAAAGCCACCAGCACACACCAGCTAATGAGCACTTTGTGGAAGGTAATAAATACATCAAGAAAAAGTCACAGAGGCAGAATGACCAAGCTAATTGTAAGGAGCTCAACATCGAACAAGTAAAATCAGAATATCTTAGACCAGAACAACAAAGAATTCTACACAGTCTAGATACTCAAGCTCCTGTGCTAGCAGAGGAAAATCCAGAAGGGATCAAGCAGCCTTCAGAAAAAGCACCAGCAAAAGATCATTGGCTGATGAAAGATGAGGAATGCCAGCAAGATAATCAATCAAGGTAATACCTCTTTTCTTCAAATACAGTGGTTGAATTGGTTAATTATAAATGTGGATGATTCGTAAGTACTATTCAAGTGGGATTAGTTTTATGTGGGGAGGTGGGATAATTTTAACACAGAACTTCTGTAATGTTTATTACATTACTTCATTATTACATTATAAGAAATAAATTACAGAGATGGGAGTGGCTGCTTAATTTACACATAGCTTAAGCTGCTCACAAGTAGAAAACATATCAAAATGTTTAATTTAATTTTAATTTACCTTAACCATCTAGCTACCTGTCTTAAATGAATGCAGTATTTCATTACCATTATCATTGGACTGGGAATTGGCAGCCAACGTTCAACGTCGGCTTTGAGTTTTTTTTTTGTTTTCATGTTTTAATGTTCAGAGTCGTGCAGTTGAGGTAGAACAGTATACATTGGCTTGATTCAGGCCACAGGGAATACAAAATGATAAATGCTTTTTCAAGTGCCTCTTAAAGGTGCCATAGCATGGAAAACTGCATTTTCATTGGCATAGTTGAATAAGAAGAATTTGACATACTGTGAATGTTAAACACTGTTGTCTCCTCCTTTAAATGCAAATCCTGCATTTGCATAAAACTGTTATGTAACAGTCTTGACTCATTAATGTTTACACCCCCAAAATTTGCATTCACCAGCCCATGTTTTAGCCCAGTGAAACAATGACAAAGGAGCAAGAGCAATGAAAATGGCAGACAGAAACATAACATTCCAGGCTGTGAAGGGAATGTCGACACTATTCATATCTCATAAAGAGCCAAAGTATAAATGGACATGGTTAATGTTCAGCTTTAAACAAGGCTGAAGTTGGCTTTCTGTTCCCCAGCTTTTTGATTGAATGTTCTGTTCCACCTTAAATGCTACAGCTTGGATGGGTGCCAGAATAGAACTGTGGAACCAATAATTTGGAATGAAAAACTCACAGAACAAGTTGAAATAGGAAGCCAGCTTTAGCCCCTGCATCTTTAACAGGATCCCAGACAACTTTAATTTAAAGTTGTTCGTTTGCTCTGTACATTTCACTCTGGACAGTTTCTCAACCCTTGGACAGTATTGAGCAGGCTTCTTTTCAGACACTGAAAAGAGGGACACTTTATTAAGCATTCCAACCTCAACTGCAACCTATAAGTAGCTAGCCAAGCTGTGTGATTTTATTCACTTTTTGACATTTGAAGCCAAATCATCTTAAATTGAAAGTTTTATAGTGAGCTAACAATTTTAATTTACTTTGTGTTGTTGTTGAGATTAAACGCAAGTAGCTAGCACAGGTAACGCTAGCTACTAGCAAGCTCCAAGTAACTAGCATAGCTAACTAAACAGTTTGACAATCTAGCTTATTTATTTGGATGTTAATTTTATTTTTATGTCTGTGTCTATTTTGACATGTTGCTTCTCTGAGAGCCATTGCAGTGCCATGTTGGAAACCAGCAAATTGGAGCACTGCTCATAAAATTATTAATCAGTTCACCAAACAAAATAAAACAGCTTGTTTCATTCTAGGGCCAAATCATAGGATTGCAAATGGGCATGTAAAACTGCATCTGGGTATTTTTCACCCTGACCAATGTCACAGACCTTCTATGTAGACATTACAGAACAATTTAAAATGCTGAATAAATGCATTTTTATGGCACCTTTAAGGAAAACGTGAAAAATTGGTTTTCCATTGAATATGATGGAATATTATTCTCATGTCATTTTCAGATTATTAGGCGGTCAAAAAAAATATTTGTAGGTTTTGAACAACCTAATCTGATGACATACATTTAATTTGTGGGGAGGACTTTGACGTAAGAGCGAGAGTCATGGGTGAATACATGTAAAATATTTTATTTTGTTCGCTATCATACTTTTTGCACTTTTGCGTTTTTGTGCCAAAATCACCTGTCTGTAATACACTTGAGCTGCCACCAGTATCAAGTCAAGTCAAGAGGCTTTTATTGTCATTCCATACATGAGCACAGCAGTTACTGAGGTAGTAAAACAGTGTAAACACAGTATTAGCAGCAATGTTCCAGAGAGGTGTGTGGGGTGGGGGGTTTAGTTCAGTCCTTGTGAATTTAAAAACCTGATTGCTTGAGGAACAAAGCTGTTGCAGAGTCTGGCGGTGATGGCACGGATGCTCCGGTACCTTCTGCCAGACGGCAACAGTGAAAAAAGTCCGTGTGAGGGATGGATGGGGTCGTCCACAATGCTGGTGGCTTTCCGGATATGTGTGGTGTAGATGTCCATGATGGACGGGAGAGAGACCCCGATGATCCTCTCAGCTGTCCTCACTATACGCTGTAGGGTCTTGCAGTCAGAGGTGGTGCAATTCGCAAACGAGGCGATGATGCAGCTGCTCAGGATGCTCTCCACAGTCCCCCTGTAGAACATGGTGAGGATGGGAGGGGGGAGATGAGCCTTCTTCAGTCTCTGCAGGAAGTAGAGGCGCTGCTGGGCTCTCTTGGCTATGGAGTTGGTGTTGAGGGACCAGGTGAGGTTCTCTGTGATGTGGACACCGAAGAACTTAGTGCTCCTGACGATTTCCACAGCAGAGCCAGTGATGTTAAGTGGGCGGTGGTCACCTTGCACTCTCCGGAAGTCAACAACCATCTCCTTAGTTTTGTCTACATCCAGAGACAGGTTGTTGGTTCCGCACCAGTCTGTTAGCCGCTGCACCTCCTCTCTGTATGCTGACTCATCATTTTTGCTGATCAGACCCACCACAGTCGTGTCATCAGCAAACTTAATGATGTGGTTTGAGCTGTACTTTGCAGTACAGTCATGAGTCAGCAGGGTAAACAGCAGCGGACTAAGCACACAGCCCTGAGGGGCACCGGTGCTCATTGTGGTGGTGCTGGAGATGTTATTACCTATCCTGACTAACTGAGGTCTCTCAGTCAGGATATCCAGGACCCAGTTACAGAGGGAGGTGTTCAGGCACAGCAGGCTCAGTTTTCCAATCAGCTGCTTGGGGATGATGTTGAATGCTGAACTGAAGTCTATGAACAGCAGACATAGGTGTCTCTATTGTCCAGGTGGGTGAGAGCCAGGTGGAGTGTGGTGGAGATGGCGTCGTCTGTTGAGCGGTTGGGGCGATATGCAAATTGCAGTGGGTCCAGTGAAGGAGGAAGCTGGTCTTTAATATGCCTCATGACAAGCCTCTCAAAGCACTTCATGATGATTGGAGTGAGTGCAATGGGACGGTAGTCATTGAGGCAGGACACTGGAGGCTTCTTCGGCACAGGGATTATGACGGTGGACTTGAAGCATGTTGGAACGACTGCAGTGCTCAGAGAGATGTTGAATATGTCCGTGAGAACATCAGCCAGCTGTTCAGCGCATTCTCTGAGCACTCTGCCCGGTATGCTGTCGGATCCTGGTGCTTTCCGTGGGTTGACTCGCTGTGGACAGACACAGTATCTGTTCACTTGGAGGAGGAGTGGTTTTCCTCACTGTCGTGCCATTCTGTGCTTCAAACCAAGCATAGAAATTATTCAGCACATCTGGAAGGGAGGCATCACTGTCACAAGCAGGTGGAGGTGGCTTGTAGTTGGTGATGGCTTGGATGCCCTGCCACATGCGCCGTGTGTCAACAGTGTTTTTAAAGAGATTGTAGATTTTCTTTGAGTAGGCACGCTTAGCCTCTTTGATGGCCCGGGAAAGCTTGGCTCTTGCTATCCTGAGGCTTGCTTTGTCCCTTGACTTGAAAGCCTTGTCACGGGTTCTCAGCAGTGTGCGCACCTCTGCAGTCATCCATGGTTTCTGGTTGGGGTGAGTTGTGACGAGTTTGGAGACATAACATCATCAATGCACTTGCTGATGTAGCCAGTCACTGATTCTGTATACTCCTCCAGGTTGATGGAGTCACCAGAGGTTGCTGCCTCTCTGAACATTTCCCAATCGGTGTGCTCAAAACAGTCCTGAAGAGCAGAGAGAGCTCCTGGTGGCCAGGTTCTCACTTGCTTCTGGTCTGGTTTGGCATGTCTGATGAGCGGTCTGGAGTGTGCATCACAGAGATGTGGTCTGAGTAGCCGTAGTGGGGGTGGGGCTTGGCCCTGTACGCGCCGGGGATGTTCGTGTAAACAAGATCCAGCACGTTAGCCCCCGGGTTGCAAAGTCCACATACTGGTGAAATTTTGGGAGCACTGACTTCAGATTAGCATGGTTTAAATCTCCAGCAACAATAAACAGTCCGTCTGGGTGTGTGTTTTGCAGATTGCTGATAGCGCTGTACAGCTCGTTCAGTGCGGTGTTAGCATTAGCACTGGGAGCTATATACACCGCTACTATGTACATTGTAGTTAGCTCTCTTGGCAAAAAAAATGATCTGGCTCTGACAATCGCAAACTCCACCAGCGGTGAGCAGTGACTAGAGACTAGCTTCGCGCTTTTACACCGTTCAGTGTTGATGTAAACACACAGTCCCCCACCTCGAGTCTTACTGCACAGCTCAGCGTCTCTGTCCACACGGTAGCACAACAGGCCGTCGAGCTGAACGGCTAAGCCTGGAGTGGAGCTCGTAATCCATGTCTCTGTAAAAACGAAAACACAGCAGTCTCTGAACTCACACTGGGTGGCCCGCTGAATCCAGAGGTAGTCCAGTTTATTCTCCAAGGAACAAACGTTTGAGAGAAGAAGCGATGGAACGGCTGGTCATCTGGAGTTAGCCATTAGCCTAGCGCGCACCCTGGCTCACTTGCCTCGCTTCCGCCTTCTCGCACATCGCTTTCGGCTAGCAGGCTCACGCAGCGCCGTGGATCTTAGCAGGCCTAGCTTGCGCAGCTCTTCTCGCAGTTCGTTTGGAAGCAGAGATTGAGATTGAGGCTGATTTCTCAGCTGTAGCTGGCTCTGGCGATGGTAGACACTGGTGCTCGTTGAAGCAGTCATGATATTTAGTTTTGGTTGGGTTACACGACAGATAGTAAACAAAAAAATAGCAAAAAAGCACCGTTTTGCTGTTCCCGAAGTGGCCGCTGCAGCTAGC